TTCTCTTTTATTTTAACTTATATTTAATAACATCACTATGATAAATAATTAAATGAATAAAGTCAGAGATAAAACACTATTTAATTTAATCATTATTGTTGCTTTATTATTCTAATCTTTATTTATGTATATAGGTAAAGAAAAATTTTAACATCTATTTATTTATTATAAAATAAATGATTTTACTATAAAAGACATACCTAAGTGATCAAAAGTCTGTAAATATTTTTAATAATGTAATAATTGGACATTTATTTCTGCTTATACTTGCAATTGGATGCGCCAAACAAAATTTTACACATGAATATAAAAGCAAAATTTGACTTTGAGGGTCAGATTATTTTGGTTTTATTAACAACCTGCCTTAAATTTTCTTAAAGCAGATACATATTATAATCTCAAATTTGGTGGTGGTTGCTACACAGAAAGGGTATCAAACAAGGGTGTGAAGACATTTGATTATAAAATTTTACTATGATACAGATCATCCAAATTTTACTATATATATATGTTTTACAACCTCTTATAGATCAGCAGGAAATGTCCTGTGGGTACAAATTACGAATGAAAATTTTTTTAAATACTATTTTATCCACTATTACACTATCACTGACATTATTTCTAGTATGAATTCCCAACTGTCATTATTAGCTAAAAAATATTTATGCATTGCAGCAACTTCTACTCCAAATGAATGTCTACAGTCACAACATACTATAATTAAATAACAGATTTTAAATGAAATTTCCCATTCATCCATTGTAGCAAGGTTTGACTGTATTTAGTGAAGCTGGAAACATAATGACAGCCAAACAAACAAAATTAAATCTATTGTTATTTGAAAATATTGTATTTTTTAAAAAAATATGCAATATATTGAAAATATTTTTCCTGATGAATAAATAATTGTTATATTTTTGTATTAAATTTATTGTTATATTTTTTTTAAATAAATTTAAATCAATGAATATTTGGTGGATATTCAATGAATGACCAATTATCTGGGTGTTGAATTTTATTGACTGACCAATTATCCAGGTGTTGAGCTTTATTGATTGACCAAGTATTCTAATTTAATTACAAAAAGGTTTACTTGATTAGAGGGACTAAGATAAATTTTACTTACTTGCTGATCAGAATGTGGAACATGAACATTTTGGGCTCAATCATTATTATAATTAGCAGTGGCATCAATACTGCAATATTGTGTTTTACCCTTTGAATAATTTTGATTAACTAATTTTCTTTGTTCTTCTGCTCGTTTGGTATTTTTATTATAATAATTTCTTTCTAATTTGGCCTTGGACAGATGTTCTTTAAATCTTTTAAGCAAATCTTTAGTTTCTTCCTCTTGGTGAGCATTATAATGTAAACCATCTCTAAAATGTTGGCAAGCACCACACAAGTCAGTTCTTGGACTCATAATTTGAATCTCTGGTGTCAGTTGATGTCATAATTTTCTGAAAGCATCATACTTCAAAGATTTCAAATTACTATCTTCTTCCAGACCAGCTAGAAAATCTCTGTGGACCAATTTATAACTCATTCCATCTGGTAAGAATACAATTGATTGAGTTATTCCATTGTCACTTCATCCTGGGCTTGGTAATCCATGGACTTTGGCATAATTTTCTAGAAAATTCTTTACTACTTCAGCCACATTTTTATCAATCACCATTTTAGTTTTCCATTGAGGCATTTTTTTAATATTACCATGAATTCTTGGTAGAAGACCATTTTTTATCAGGTGATTCCTGATATTTTCAAAATAAGTTCTGCCAATTCCCAACATATTGAGATAAGTTTCTCAACAAAGGAATGTATTGTGATCCCAATGGTAGAAAGTTCTTTTATTAGATCTGGTTTTCTTTTTAAAGTGTCTACTAGTGCTTATTGATCCACCATCAATTGCCTTAAGTTGGACCATTAAAAATATGTTTTGTTCTGATTTAGAAAGAACTTGAAAAGGTTCTCTCAATTCTGCAAGTTTTTCCTTGGGAACCTTTGAAGAACAACCACAATTACATCCTTTTTCTAAAAAATCAATTGACTTTTGATATTCATTAGAATCATTATGCTTATTATTATTTTTCATATACACTTATCCCTCCCTATATATAATTTTATGTTCACTTTGCAGGTTTTTTTTATAATTGTTTTAATGTTGGAGATATAAAATTAAACTTAGATGAATTAGTAAAAAAAAGAGAAATTTGAAAATTTTAGTTAACCAATCCCATGAAAAACAATTGTAGTCTGAATTTAATTGTCCTCTCATCAGCAATCAATATAAGAAAAAACAAACAGTAATTTTATTTCATTAAATAATAAATAAAATATTTCATATTTACTCACTATTATTGTTTGCATTTATTATTTCATCAGTAATGATTAATAAAATATTATCTTTGTCAGTGAACTGTTTGTGGATTGTTATTCTATTACATTGCAAAACTATAAAAAATCAACACTATGTGAATTAAAAGCCAATAAAGAGAAGGATAAAAAAAAAAGGAAATGAAAAGGTTTAATATTCTCATAGAAGGCTTCCCTAATGGTTTTTTGGCTTTTAATATATATAAATTAATCAAATCATTATGTGTTTTCTTTTAGTTGAATCAAAATAAATAAATGTTACTTATCTTTTTAACCTCATATCAATATTTGTGATTATTATGTGTTGTCATTATTTGTATATATTCCTTTTTACAAGGTGTTAGTAAATAAATTGCATCACCAAGTAATAAATAATGGGTTTCACAATAATAAATAGATAAATAGGGAGTGAGGACCAAAAAAAAATATTTTATCCTTTCCATTGTATATATATTAGTTATAATTATTAAAAAAATGTTGCCATTTGTCATTCTAGTTATATATAATGGAAATGGTGAATTGGTAAAAAAAGAAAACCAATGAAGGGGTAAAAAAAAAATGGTAAATATTGTTAGAGGGTGGTTGTTTTTTTACAAGCTATTCTAGTTTTTACAATAAAGATAGCTGAGAAGTTTTAATAATTTATACTATGAGGACATCTTCAAAACAAATAATAAATCTTGATAATGACAATGATGATGAATTCCCCGAATTACCAAGTATAGAGGATTTATTAAATAAAACCACTACATGAAATGAAAAAAAAACCCCCCATGTTGGACTACAATGCTTTAAAAAATGAAACATTGGACTATGATGTTTTAAAGAAAGATGAAACATTAGAAATTCCAGGCGAGTTGGTGTTGGCTTACTTGTTAAAAAAATACTATCCAGCAAGGTTACCAATTGTGAGAAGGTGTGATATGATTTTATTTATTAGTAATTATTTATTATTTATTTAATATTAATTATTCATCGAGCACTTTCACCAATCCCAAAAACCTGTTTGTGCAAATTTTTATTGCTTAAAATACTTTGTATTCATTTTTTAATATATTAACAATAAAAATTATAATTCATATGGAATTTCGTATGCAAATTTCCTGTAGGGTAGTAATAATAGTAAAGGTATTAGAATAGATCAGAGCAACCAATACTCATCAATGGCTTCCCATGCAATTGCTCTAGTGGTTTTATCTTATGTTTTTTTAATATTTAGTGTAAATTAAAATCATAATGTATCCTAATTGAATCAAAATAAATAAATTATTATTTAATCCTTTCCTTGAATGTGAACACCTTTGTCTCTGCCATTGTATCATGTCTATTACAAATAATTGCATCACACAAGTAGAAATGGGGCCAATTTTTAAAAAAGTCCAGATGAGAAATTTGGCAAAGTAGGAAAATAGACTCTTGGTAATTTTGTAGAAAATTTTAATGACTCTGGTTGGTTCCTTCATTTTGTATTGCATACAATTAATTACAAGCCTTGAAAATTTCCAAAAAATAAAATGAATAAATCCAATATTTATTCATGCTGCCCAGATTAAAATTGCTGAATCCCGAGTTTCTAATTTGAATTTGAGCAGCATGTATAGGACCATAGGTAAGTACCAGATTTTCCTTTCACAAGCACGCAATCAAGATGCAAGCATTCCTCGTTATTATAGAATTTCCTCCACAGTGAGGAGAATGCTCATGTCAGGAAGCATTGGACAAGTGAAAGGCTCATTGAATAATTGAGTAGTTATCTGAAAAAATATCCACAACCTCCAGAATATGTCCATCACATAGAATTGCAGTTGCAGATATATTTTGTGGATAACTACAGCGTTTTTGTAAAATGTCCAAATTTGGATTTTGAGTCACATAACTACATATAAATAACGCATGATTATCTTTACTTTTTTTAACTTTTACAACATACTACACATACTTTAATAACTTATGACGGTGAAACTTACTTCACTTCCAAAAAATTTTCAATTACCAAAATCAGTTGCCATTCTGACATGTAATTTATTTGCATTTATATTTGTTGCAGGATTATACTTATCAAAGAAAACCAGAATTGGTGGCAGACAGAATCATCTGTTGACAAAGGATCACCCAAGAGTAATTTTAGAACGTGTAATTAGTGTAGTTATAACATGTTTCATCTCTGTGATAATAATATGGAGGTTAATACTAAACTATGAAGGATTTAGTGAAATGGAGGTAGTTTTTTGTTTAAGCAACAAAGTTTTATACTAAATTAATATTTAATAATAATAATTTTGTAATTTTTTATAATTGTGATTTAGTCACTATTAGATCAGATATCAATAATATTTACACTTCTTGGATTTAATATGCCTTCATCTTTTCACTATATAATCAATCTGATTTTTCTTCCACTATCATTATCAATGATATTATTTTTTGGGCCATTCTATATAAAATATTTAGATAGAGAACTACCTTTTCAATCATATTTCAATTGGAAATTGAATGTTTTTAATTATTTGACTAGCTTGATAGGATTTAGGAATGTAATATTTGTAAGGATTTGTGAATTCTATGAATATTATGAATTTAATTTTTATAAAAAAAATTATAATAATTAATATAATGAATTAATGATTCAAGGCACCATTTACAGAAGAATTTGTTTTTAGAAGTTGTATGGTTACACTTTTAGCTTTAGCTGATCTATCTCATGCAAAAATTGTATTTCTTACACCTTTTATATTTGGAATGGGTTAGTTAACTATTTCATTTTCATTTTTATTTCATTTTCATTAATATTTTTAATTTAATTTTTGTTTCTTGAAAATTTATAGCACATTTACATCATGCATGGGAATATTATGTTAACCATGGAAGAACTAAACAGGCTGCAAAAATAGGACTTTTTACATCAAGTAATAATCAAATTAATTATTTTTATCAAAAAATTAGATATTATATATTATTTATATTATAAATTTGGAAAAAGTATTTCAGTTTATTTTCACATCAATATTTGGATGGTATGCAGTTTTTTTATTTATGAGAACAGGTAAAAATATTAATCCAATCAATCAATCAATCAATTTTAATCTTATATTTTATTATTAATAATTATTATTATTAACAGGAAGTTTTTTGCCACCATTTTTATCACATTGTTTTGGAAACATAATGGGATTTCCAAATGTTAATCTATCAAATTATCCTAAAACAAAAAAAATTTGTAAGTAAATATATAAATAATTGTATTATAATTATAATTTTATGAAGTATATTAATCTATTAAAAAATATATATGAAAAGTTATAATTGCAGCATTTATATTAGGAATGCTTAGTTTTGGAATATTATTATTTCCATTCACTAATCCAAAATTATATGGGGAAAATTCTTTATATTGGGAAAATTAATAATTTTATTTTATTTATCTATTTATTAATAAAAATCATGATAATGATATAATGGTTTTTTGCCACTTGTTTGTCAAAAATTAAAAACCAAAAAAACCTCTAAAAGGTAGTACAATTGTACCCTGTCTATTTGCATAACATATATTTGCATAATCTGTCTATTTGCGTGTTTCATATTGGGACCTATGAGCTGTTTGCATAATGCATATGCACCAAAAACAGTCCTGGTTCTACTACATCCCACAAACATATATTACCTTGTAAATTTAATTTTTATTTTATTTTATAAATTTTTATTTTCAAAAAAAATAATCTAGAGTGCTTTGTTCCAAGGAATCATTATAAAATTTTCATTGTATTTTTTACACTAGTTAATTTTGATCTCATCTGGACGGTCTTTATGTTGCTACAACAAGCAAGTCATACCTTTTTCTAAAGCTTCTAACCCTTCCTTAATAGGAATAGCAGGTAACTCACTTTCTTCATCACTATCTTCTTCCTCATTCAGATTTTCATCATTGTTTTCCTCTGAACTTAATTAATAATTGATGCATCACCTAAAGGCTCTTCTATTTCACTTTCTTCAACAGGGTTTAAAAAATTTTCTGTTGTAATAGGATTTCTATATCTATAAAATAATAATAGCATTAACATCAAGAATAATAAAAAACCATATTTTAAATACTTACCTTAAGGCCACAACATCTCTCTCTATGTCAGCAACTAATTCATTCTCACTTTCTTGCTCTATTTCTTCTTCATTACTAAAATTAATAATACCTGTGTGTCTCCAACAATTAACAATGGTATTGACTGTAACACAAACAATTTTAATGAATTTATAGCCTCTAAAACATTAAGTTTAGAGGTATCATGTGGATTGTCCTCAAACTTTTTAAGAAGATGATGAACAAATATGATAATGTTTTTTGAAAGAGGAAATGATTCCAGCATCACAAGGTTGAAGCCTTGATGTGCAATTAGGTGGTAAGAACTTAACCTGTGTACTTTGCAATTCCATTACTCTAACTATATGACAGGGTTCATTGTCAAGTCAGTGATGACAAATGACCAACCCAAATGACCCAAATGACTAGGTCATTAATGGTCATTTGGGTTGGTCATTTAAATAAACCAATAAAATTTTACCAATTTATTGTATGACAAAGAGGTAGATCAATTCATTTTTTTTAAAAAAAATATATTTATGTATATGAAATATTTATTTCATATACATAACAGGAGAGACCGTCCTATATAAGGAATGGATTTTCACAATTGATTTCAATTTTTTTTATACAGTTTAAAA